GTTTATAACTGTTACTTCATTATCACTGACAAAATTGAGGAATTCATTTAGTGTACCGTTAATTTGCATATTAAAATAATTGCTAAACATGACCCCATCCCCGCAAATGTAGGGACTTTTGCTGTTTTCAATGTGTCGGTCCAGCCAAGAAGCATTGTATTCTTCCTCCTTGGCTCATGTGATGGTTTAAATATTAATCTCCTGTGTCTCGGGTGTAATGATGGGTGGGGTTTGCGTGGTGGAGTGGCTCGGGTGGTGTGTGTTGACTTGTTTGCTGTCTTCACAGCCCCTGTGTTGTTAGGATCCCCTTTGCACACGCATGTCTTGTCTCCCAAAGGGCAGCCCCTCTTCCTATAACCCCGCTGTGAGGACCCCACACGAAGTTTCTGAGAGATCAAGAGAGGCAAATTATTTTCTTTTTCAGTTGAGGGACTCAGTAGCACAAAAGGGATGGGCCTGCCCACCCATTCATTAGGGATCAGGGTTGTGATATCTGGCGTAGGAGGTAATGGCAGCCTCTCTCCTGAACGGGGGACTCGGGCAGTTCCATGGAGGATGCTTAGGTCTCTGCTAACGATCGCAGAAGGCATATAACTGAGGATGAACGTCCACCCATTTTGACAGTTGATTTAGTTGGTGTTTTATTCTCTTCTGTGCTTGATTTGTGTGTTATACTTAAACGATCTTTTTGAGGGAAGGAAGTGATTATGTGTTCCTTGGTGCCCTGCCTGTGCCTGACATATAATTTTGTTAAAATTGAACTGTGGAAATAGTAGTAGTTATGCTGCCCAGAATGTGAGAAGAGGAATGGTGAGAACAGGCCATTTTGCTAAGGTTTGGGGATTCTGCTGTCAGAGGCTGGGGAGATTATGGGGCTTCCTGGTACAATCTGGGGTGGGCGCCAAGCACCTTGAGGCAGATACCTGGCAGGCCAGGGTGAGTGTCCAGAAAGGTGAGATATTTGTCTTGGGCTACTGGGAATAAAATCTGAAGATGTGAGATGGAAATGATATGCAAAAGAGCCCAGATGGGGCTACATCTGCCAGCCACTAGTACATCCTCACCTCCTCCCAGTCTAAGGAGAAGAGCTTAGGGCTTAGGCAGGGCTGGTGGAGACTGATAAGCCTGGGTAAGGGTCTCTGTCTTTTCATCTCTGCTATCTCTGCTTTAGGTACCTCAGCTGAATGGCTAAGAGCAGTATGTGCTGGTGCTGGCCTGGGTGACCTGCAAGATTGATTGTCAAATTCTCAGGAATTTTGTGAGCCACTTGTCAAACATAGCTTTTGCTAAAAATTAAATTGGCTAGGCACAGCAGGTCACAGCTTTAATCTTTTTTTTTTTTTTTTTTTGAGACAGAGTCTGGCTCTGTTGCCCAGGCTGGAGTGCAGTGGCGCGATCTCAGCTCACTGCAAGCTCTGCCTCCCGGGTTCATGCCATTCTCCTGCCTCAGCCTCCTGAGTAGCTGGGACTACAGGGGCCCGCCACCATGCCTGGCTAATTTTTTTGTATTTTTAGTAGAGACAGGGTTTCACTGTGTTAGCCGGGATGGTCTTGATCTCCTGTCCTTGTGATCCACCCGCCTGGGCCTCCCAAAGTGCTGGGATTACAGGCATGAGCCACCGCACCCCGCCACATCTTTAATCTTAACACTTTGGGAGGCCGGGGCGGGAGGATTGCTTGACGTCAGGAGTTCAAGACCAGCCTGAGCAACAGTGAGACCTCCCCCTACAAAAAACCAATGATAATAATAAATAAAAATAAAATAAATTTTAAATAAGAATTATAGAAACTCACAATTGAGCAGATTATGTTAAAAACAAAGATTATAGACATTCCAAGTGTTTCACTTCCTAATTATTTTACTCCATTCTGCTACCTCTGCTCTCCTGGTTATTTAGATCTTACAGATCTGTGTGGTAGAAATTCTGTATACTGGTGAACTTCTGCACACCTCTTTCTAACCCCATGCTCGGCAACTGTGCATTGGTAGCTTGAAACAGGCTCTGGTGGGAGTATTTATGCCACATTCATGCATATGCTTGGCTTCTCTCCAGACAGCACTTCTTCTTGCTCTTGGTTCTCTCCCTCTGGCTGAGTGTGGACCACAGGCTCAGAATGACTCAGACCTCCTTGAGGAGAAGCAGAAACTCTTTATCTCAATGCTTCTCTCTTTAAGCTCATATGTTTCCACAGGTTGAGGAAAAGGACATTGTGATGGCTTAAGAGCTTTCGTCATTCCATCTTTCAGTCTGTTGATTATATGTGGGATTAAAAATAAGCAATGTGTTGATACCATCAGCTGAACACACTAAATCAGCTTTCTTAGTTAATAACAGCAGTAGAAATTAAAGCAAGAATGAGCTGCCAGTGATTACAGCCAGACACATGGTTCACTGTACGTGTCAACAGGTCCAATTTCCACTGGAATTTTCCACCTGGAATGATAAAGTCTGATTTCAGTCCACTGGTGATCGTTGGCTCAGGAGACACCTTCTGCAGGAAACTCTTCCTGCCTGCTGCTTCCACAGAGTAGGGGAGGCAGCTCCTGCGTGTTTCCCCAAAACCCTGGGCACACCTTTGACACTACAGTACAGAGGTTGGCCGGTTTGTATTAAATGCCTTCTCAAATCAGATGACCCATCTGTAAGATGCTGCTCAAGAACGCTGAAATTCACCAGCAAGCCTTTAGTAATTATGAGGTACGGTCTGCTATTAGAGAAATAAAACAAGTGAATCAAATAGGATTAACCCCTTCAAATGACTTAACTAGGTATTTCTCACAAGTAATAAAGAAGAAATTCCTTTCATTCTGTTGCGGATAACCAGAAACAAGGAACTGCGGGGTTTCTAACAATAATTAACAGCCTGTTATAGATGCTCCTTCTAAACAAGATGACAGTTTGCATTTCTCTTGTTGAGGATAATACCAAACTTTCCTATTAAAACCAAAAACTAATCCCTTATTTGAAATCTCACTTATAGCAGATTATCAAGCATTTATCTAGATGATTTAAAGTAACCACATATTTGTGTCCACTTTTCTCCAAGCTGTCATTTTGGAATAATAGCCTAACTCAGCAAGAAGATGAATTGAGTCACTCTTATAGCTCAATAAATCAAGCATGAGGGTATGAGTTTAGATTTCCTTGTAATATTAATCTCAATCTTCTTTGGTAAAATTATTTTCCTCTATTTTTAAGAGTAATCATTCTATATGTAATATAACGCTAACTGCTACCTGTAGCAACCACAAAACCTTAATGAGTTAGCACAGCAAAGCACGTTTCTTGATCCTGTCACAGTCCAGGATGGGTCAGTGGATCTGGGCAGCAAAGTGCTCTCTTCCATGCAGTGACTCAGGAACCCAAACTCCTTGCATTTGGGGGTCTGTTGTTTTCTAGGTTTCAAAGTCTCCTCTGGCTCCTCTGCATCTGGCCATAGGCAAGAAAAGAAAAGTGGACAGTTGTGCAGAGGTGTTATGGCCAAGCTTGTTGGGGGCCTTCTTTTCACTTTCACCCACATTCTGTTCATCAATACTCAGTTATGCAGCCAGAGCCCAACTCTAAGGCAAGGCTGTGTGCCTGGGGAGAAAAGGGAATGGCGTTGGTAAACACATTTGCTCGGTCAATTTTGCACCATGACAAAATTTTCAAGTTCTTTGTGGTCTTGGGCTATAGAGAGGATGCAGAGTGTAGTGGTTGAGACTGTGTCCTCAAATCAAACTGCTGGTATCCAAATTCCATCTTCACCATTTACTAGATAGTGAATTGGGCAAGTAACGTAGCCTCTCTCTGTGCCTCAGGGTCCTCCTCTGTAAAATGAGGAAAATAGTAGAACGTATAGAGTTTGTGAGAGAATCAACTTTCCATGTACAAATGTTTAGAACAGTGCCCAGAATATAATGAACAACATATAAATGTTTGTAAAACAAAATGTTTGGCTGGGTGTGGTGCCTCACGCCTGTAATTCCAGCACTTTGGGAGGCCAAGGTGGGTGGATCACCTGATGTCAAGACCAGGCTGGTCAACATGGCAAAAGCCCGTCTCTACTAAAAATACAAAAAATTAGGGGGGCATGGTGGTGGGTGCCTGTCATCCCAGCTACTTGGGAGACTGAGGCAGAAGAATTGTTTGAACTGGGGAGGCAGAGGTTGCAGTGAGCCGAGATCATGCCATTGCACTCCAGCCTGGGTGACAGAGTGAGACTCTGTCGCCAAAAAACAAAAAATAAAAATTTTAAAAAATGAGATCTGTGTGTGTGCCTATAATCCCAGCTACTTGGGAGGCTGAGGCAGGAGAATCACTTGAACCCGGGAGGTGGAGGTTGCAGTGAGCTGAGATCGAGCCACTGCACTCCAGCCTGGGTGACAGAGCGAGACTCCCTCTCAAAAAAAAAAAAAAAAAAAATTAAAAAAATGAGATTAGTAACAAAGAGACTTAATTTCCTGTGTGCTATGTTGTAATTTGGGTATATTGCCATTCAGTTGGAGGATGTTTCAGTTCAATTGTAAAAATACTTTATTGAGCAACATTATTTGTAATGTGCAGAGTACGACCATAGAATCTGAATAAGCAGACTCGTCAGTGAATCAAAGGAAACAGCACATTTTCCCCACCAAATTTGCCTTTTAAGTTCTGTGACTCAATCCATGGTCACATCAGCGTTGTGATCTCAGTTTCCTCTCTTGAAATGCCAGGTCTCATCTGGGCCCCTGAGAGTGGAAAAAGGTGCTGGCACAGGACCAAAAGGGCTTCTTCAGTGGCCTAGGACCCAGGGGATACTGTCGATGTCACTCTGTTAAGAGATGCCTCATCTATCCACTCGGTACTCAGATCGTTCCCAATCTATTTGCACTAACATATTAGCTTTTCAAGTTATGATCCACATTTCAGAATATTGCTTGATTTTACAAAACACATGAGGGCAATATGATGTGATTTCTCCGTATGTAGTCCCCATCTGAGGAGCAGGTTGGGTATAACAGACTCTTTCTCTTGCAGCTGGATGACTGTACTCTGCAGCTGTCTCACAATGGCGCCTACCTGGATTTGGAGGCCACCCTGGCAGAGCAGCGGGATGAGTTGGAAGGCTTCCAGGATGACGCTGGGTAAGAGCAACTGTTGACCCTGCTGACTGGTCCCCACCTACCAGGAAATGGGGGTACATTGAGGCCTTAAAATATTTAGGAGGAACTACCATGGCTTTGACCTTCTCTTAATTCTCAATCACACACGAGGGAGATGCAAGTGACTTATCAGTGGTGACTGCAGACCCGTTTCCATTTTGAGTAACTTTTCTTGATGGGTGCTTGGGAGTAGCCTTTCCTAGAAACATTTGTGGTAATCAAGCACATGGTATTTATATTCTAAGTTATTTTAAAATCATATATCACAATTAAATAGATATTTTCCAGCCAGCGGTGGTGGCTCACACCTGTAGTCCCAGCTACTCGGGAGGCTGAGGTGGGAGGATCGCTTGAGCCTGGGAGGCCGAGGCTGCAGTGAGTCATAATTGTGCCACTGCACTCCAGCTTGGATAAAAGGGCAAGACCTTATCTCTAAAAATGAATAAATAAATAGATATTTTCCAGATTTTAGTGGATTCACAACTATTTTAGATATTGTACTCAATGATAATTTACTGGATATTTTCTTAGCAGGTGCTCTAGAAGATAGTTTTATATGGTATCATCTTTTAAACTCATTACTGTGGAAAAAATAATTAATTATGTTAATGTCAACTTACTTTTTGCCCATACCTAGAATTGCTTAATACTTTTGCTGAATAAAGAAATACTCTGAGTCCAAATAAAGCAATATGCTCATAAAAGAATCAGAGATGTGCACAGAAAGTGAAACCTCTCTAGGAATATACCCATATAAGTAGCCATTCTTATATTTGTTAGATTACTGAAATAGCCTCTGATAGGGCCCCACCTTTCTCCTTCTTATTTTTATTTATTTATTTATTTTTTGAGACAGGGTGTCACTCCAGCTGCCCAGGTTGGAGTGCAGTGGCATGATCTCAGCTCACTGCAGCCTCTTGAGTAGCTGGGACTGCAGACACGTGCCACTGTGCCCAGCTAATTATATATATATATATGTGTGTGTGTGTGTGTGTGTGTGTGTATGTTATTTTTGAGATGGAATCTCGTTGTGTCGCCCAGGCTGGAGTGCAGTGGTACGATCTCGGCTTACTACAACCTCTGCCTCCCAGGTTCCAGTGATTCTTTTGCTTCAGCCTCCCGAGTAGCTGGGACTACAGGCACGTGCCACCACACCTGGCTAATTTTTGTATGTTTTAGTAGAGATGGGGTTTTGTCATGTTGCCCAGGCTGGTCTCGAACTCCTGAACTCAAGCAATTCACCCTCAGCCTCCCTAAGTGCTGGGATTACAGGTGTGAGTCACCATGCCCAGCCTACTTCTTATCCATCTCGAACCAAGTATATCTCTGATTTCATCACCCTCCTCTTCAGGAAACTTAAGAGGTTCCCTGATACTTTCCAAATAATGCTCAGCTATCTTAATCTGTTGTCCAGGAGCCCCCAAAAGTTGTTTGAAACCACTGCCTGAGTTAAAAATATGGTCCACTGGATACTATCTGGGAGTTCTCATTTTTCATGAATAGCTCAATTAATGGAGAAAAATTGGAACCTTCTTAGTTTCATGTAGCTATTTGACTTTAGTATGTACTGATGGCTTCCTGGGTTTCCCCTGTTTTAACACCCTTCACAATTTATGATCATTGATTATGCTGCTAGTTGCCCCTCTTCTCTGCTGCTAACACTCCACTAGGCCAGAACCATGCCTGTCTGAATGTCCAGTACTTGGCATTTTCTCAGCATGTTTCAGGCACTTAGCAAATACTGGTGGCCAGGTGAATGGCCCATTGCCAGAATGGATTCCTGAATAGCATGGCCACATGCACCAAAAAGACCAAGGTCCTTGTTAAGATTCAGCAAGGTGCTCTGAGGATACCCTTCTTGTCTCCAGAGTGGTAGTAGTAAGGGGCACACCAATAGTATGTGAGAAAGGATCCTGGAAAGCACTATAGGCTGGGCATATGAGAGGGGTATCTTAAGTCACACCAGATTCTACTTACTGCTATATTTAAAATTAACACTATTAGGCTGATAGACTTGGGGAAGTTCCGTTGCAATAGTTTTTATCAAGTATTTGACAGTGACATCCTTTCATATAAGTTGTTAGAATGCAGGCTAGATGATAGTCTAATTGAATGACTTCATGGCTCATTGATCAAACAGACCCCGGGAATATTATGAATAGATCATTGTCAGCTTGAAAAATGTCTCTAGTGGTGTTATGCTTGATGACCTTGTCCTCATTTTTGTTTTCTTCTTTTTTATCAAAACTGGAATGATTTGGAGATGGCAGCTGAGAAAAAAAGTGCTAATGTATTGATAAAAGCAATAAGAATAAAGGGTGTGGGAGAAGAATAATATTTTTGGATCAGCTACTATGCCAGATACTATATTAGGCTCGCTATTCACAGGCTCTTTAGTAATTAATTATCATACTAGTCAAGTAATTGGATTTTATTGTCTCAGTTTTTCGTCTGAGACAACCAAGGGTCAGGAGTTAAATTACATGTCCGGGGTGGCAAAGCCAAGTTTGAACACAGGTGTGACCAATTCCCAAGACTATGCTCTTCTGCCATCCCAGGGGCTTCTGGGCAAAGGTCCTTTAGGTTCTATGTAGCATGTACATTTGCGCCTTTGGTGGCATGAGATTGGTTCCTGCAAGGACAATTGGTCCTGGTCTAAAACACTGTCTCCAGTTGAAACAGCTTTGCTGCCGTCATCCATCACTGATGCTACAGTTTGCCTGGGCAACACCTGTCTCCAGATGCTGGCAGTTCCTCCACAGCTGTTCCTAAAGAGCCAGGGCATCCTGCTGTAAGCTCCCCAGAGTAGATCCTGGTGCTTGTATTCTCACTTTGTTCCCTCTGAATCATCACTTGGCCATGAGTCCATTGAATAGGTAGAGGTTGAATCCCATTTCTGTACTCTAGTAGCTAGGGTTGCTGGGAAAATGTGTTATGGCAAGATGAGAAGGTGGGACTCAAGACTTGGGAAACTGCAAACAGAGGAAGGTAGCCCAAAAGATATTGGATAGTTACACATTTAAAATTTGTTTAGAAAAATTTAAATTTTTAATTATTTTTGATAGGGTCTTTCTTTGTCACCCAGGCTGGAGTGCAGTGGTGCAATCACAGCTCACTGCAGCCTCCATCTGCCAGGCTCAAACGATTCTCCTGCTCTGGCTTATTTTTGTATTTTTTTGTAGAGACGGGGTCTCCCTATGTTGCCCAGGCTGGTCTGGAGCTCCTGGACTCAAAACAATCCTCCTGTCTTAGCCTCTCAAAGAGTTGGAATTATAGGCATGCGTAGCTACGCGTTTGACAAGTGTGCCCCCAGACCACCCCAGAGTGAGGTTTTGTATCTTTGAAATAGACCTTTTAGGTCCTCTCCTAGATGTGTGGCATTTGACAAAGTCTGTGTGTCTCCCATGAGTGGGAGTTAAAATATAATTGCTTCCCGGTTAAGATTTGCCCTTTGGAGGTATGAAAATGGCAAATACCATTTTTTTCTCTTGATTTATTTGTGTCAGTTATAGCAAAATGTCTGCTAATATTGTGGCCATCTAATGAAGATGTATGAGTGTGTGTGAAAATTGTGATGTTTTTCATATCATGTGTTCTGAGTTTCCTTGCTGGAGGATTTTGCTTCTTTGTTCTTGTCCATTACCCTGCACTTCTATGCCAAGATTAACTTGTTTAGAATTATCACTCAGGCTCTAGCTAGTCAGAGAATAGGTGAAAGACCTTCAAAAGTGGAAGGACAAAGCAATTATTATGCTAACAAAATAGAACCAGGTCTGTTCACTGTTCATCGCCTTCTGAGGCCAGGGAAATTAGCAAGCATGACATGGTGCAGCAGACACAGAAGCCTGCAGTCTCCAGGTTATTTTTCCTGACATTGTCATTGTGTGGCCTTGGGCAAGCCACTTTACCTCTGATAGGAGTTTATAAAATGAGGACACTTATAACATTTATTTACAGAATAAGGAAAATATGGCCCAATCCCATTTCCCTTTCTGTATGAAGAGGGGTCCTGATGGGGTCTCTGGCACCTGAGGAGAGCAGTGTAGCTTAATGGTTAGGGACACAGGCTTTACGGTTAGTCTCATGGCTGTTTGACCTTGGGGATGTAACTTCACCTCTCTGAACCTCAGTTTCCTTATAATTCGGGGCAATATTATCAATACTGCCTCTTTGGGTTGTTTTGAAGTAAAATATGATAATGTATCTAAAACATTAACTATTTCTTGATACATAATACACACTCAAAACTGTTAGCCTCTGTTATAATTACAGTCCAGTTCTGGGAAGATGACACATTGAAATGGGAACCACTGGAATTTAGACCCAGCGGATTCTATGCAGGTCAGGTGCCCTGAGATCTCCACTGTTAGTTAAGAGACCTTGATGGAGGTTTGCCCACAGGGCTGAGCTGGGCCGGAACCTCCACTCTTTTGCCTGTTGTGGCCCTCTGTGTCTCTGAAAGGAAACCAGTACCAGCCCGGGTCCACAGGGCACTGTCATGGAGAAGGTGGGCTTTTAGGCAAGCCCTGGAGGAGATAGTGGCTTTGGGTATTTGGAAGGTGCAGCAGGTGGGAGTGTGACTTGACCCAAGAGTGGACCTGAGAACCACAATGTTTCAGGGACATCATGAGGACCAGTGTGGTGGCTGGACATGGCATACACATTCACAGGTGCTCCTAGCTTTGGGTAACTTGGGGCGCTCACCTTTTCCTCAGCATGACTCCCTTCAGGCCTGTGCCACAGGGTTGGCTGTGAAGATGGCTGGTGCTTACTGGCTGTGTCATGCTGTTCACTTTCTCTCATTTGCCAAGGGGGCTGGTAGTCCTCCCACCCTGGGCCCACGTGTCTATGTGAGGTTGGTGGCTTAGAAATCATGGCTGGATGTGTGTCTGGGAAAGGGTAAGAAGGGCCGTGCAGAGGCCCATCTGCAGGGGTACATGGGTCCCATCAGCTTTGTGACCAACCTGTTTAGGGGAACCCAG